AGTACTGAAGTACTGACGTGATTTAAAAAAACAAAACAAAAACAACCTGTACTGTACCTGGCAGTGGTGACGTGTATTAAGTAAGTAGTATTAAGACTGATGGTACTACAAAGTACTTCTTATAGTCATTTTAACAATAATATTTAACTGATTTAATACTTGATAAAATTAAGTAGTTAACATTGTTACAGTCATCAAACTCAGGCCCGCAGGCCAAATCTGGCCCATGGTCTAATTATATTTGGGCCGCGAGATCATATCAAATGTGTATTAGAGCTGACCCAGCATTATATAGCCACTATATACTGGCAGGATTTGTAGTATTAGTGATGTATGCACAATATTAAAGCACATACAATTTGGCTGTTTTTTTTTTTTTTGGCCTGTGAAAAAAAGATTTACATGAAAAAAGAAACTTGACATAGAAAACAAAGGCAACTGATGTGTGTCTTATTTCAAATTTAGTTTCTCATCTTTCAGATTTAATTTTTACGCAAAACTTTTTTCCATATGAAAACATTCTACATGACATATTGTTTCTCATCTTTCAGATTTAATTTTTATGCAAACTTTTTTCCATGACATATCTGGAGAGAAGGGAAAACTTTCACATTTCTAGTCAATTTTTCAGTAAATATTTAGTTTGGCCCACGATTTCATCCTAGTTTTTAATTCTGGCCCTCTGTGAATTTCAGTTTGACACCCCTGGTGTAAGTGAGTTTAGGTGTGTGTGTGTTTTCAGTGGTGTGAATTGATCTCTCTTTCAACATAATAATATATGTGAGGACTGTGTTTCCCACACAGATGTATTTTTTTTTACATGTATTTGTTGAGGTGTTAAATGATGCTGCAGAGGTGAGAACTCAAACCCCCCAGCCTTATTTCCATTCTTCTGTTTCTCATCACGTCTTTCTTTCTTCAGGTCACAGTGTTTGTCTACAACGATCTGATGCTGGTGACCAGAGAGGACGAGCCCGGCCGCTGTAACGTCCTCCAGAGTCCCCTGTACCTCAGACAGCTGCGGCTGCAGGACGGTAAATGATCTTCATCTTCTCTGTAACAAAAGACTCTGAACTGATGTGGGTGTATTTTTAAAGGTTCATCATGTTTATGTCCAAACTGAAAAGAGAGAGAAGTGTTGGATATCAATGGACTAGGGATGTGACGATACATTCAACTCACCACCCAAAATTATTAGCTTTTTTATTTTGCTCATGATTTTTTTTTTTTTTTTTAACAAAATGAACTCCAGGCAAATTCTGCCCAAATCCAGTGATTTGACATCTTGGTTTAATAGCGGGTCATCAACGTTTTTCAAGCGCTTACTGCCACCTACTGTACTAGAGGGTGTAGTTTCATGGTATGACCAGTGACTTTTAGAGACAACACAGCGTACTCTTGACGCCTTGATGCCTGATTAATCTTTGAAACTTCAACCGATGCAAATTGTCATTCATTTGCAACGATTTTGAATCGATTCAGAAAGTTGCATCCATGGCTCTTATCGCGTCACCCGTTTGTGGGTGTAGGGGAGGAGAGAGGAGAGTGGGGGTGGGGGGCAGAGTGAGAGGTTAAGGCCGTCAGACCGTGGAGGGACGGTGGTCAGATATCACTCTGTTCTTCTGCTCTACCCTGGGCTTCTTCACTTCTGACCTCCACACTTCACCAAAACAAGCGCGTGGATTCGACAGGGTTTGCGTGTCATTGTGTGCAGAGGACACACACACACGAACACACAGACACACACACACACACAGACACACATCTCCACCCTGCTGCCTGTCATTGTGTTTCTGCTTCGACAACGTGGAGCAGGAAAGAGGCGCCAGGGGATTGTGTTTGTCTCAGCATGGGCGTGTGTGTGTGTGTGTGTGTGTGTACATAATGACACAGTGCTGGTTCAGTACAGGGGCTTTCCTGTGTTCCTGTCACCAGCTGATCCTGAGCTGATGAGCGTGGGAAGTAAGAGTGATGTTATACCAAACGGAACTGAGCGCAAACTTTTAGCTCTAGCTGTTTGTGTGTCTCAGTCCAAACATCTGTTGTACTGAATGAAGAGACGATTTACACCAGGTGGTTAAAAATACCTCTGAGGAGAAACATATTTCTATTTATAAAGTGCTCAGTAAGAGCTATAATAATATGACACAAAAACAGGCACTGTGATTGGTCGATCTGTCCAACCCCTTGGACCTTTTTTTTTTATTTGGGGTTTGGCTCCAAGTTTCTGTGTAGTCTTTAAACAATATCCACGGTGTCCGCCTCTGGGTGGACATCATGAAATGCTCCGTGTGATTGTTGCTCGGTGATGGACTGCTGACTCCTTCAGGATGCAGCCGCCTTTCTCCCGGTGACAGCCGGGATTCGATCCAGTTTTCTCTGCCGCCCTTCGTAGGAAAAAGCTGTAGCAGATGAATGAAGCTGGGAGAACAATCAGAACGATGTCCAACAGTGACCTCTGCTGTACGATACTGGGAATGACGCTTTAATCACATGATGTTTCAAGCCTAGTTTTTTTCCTTTTTCTAAGAGCTGTGTTAAAGAGATAAATTAAAAAAAAATGGAATTATCTTTTCATGTTAGTCAACAAGATATTTTATAAATTTATAAATTTTCACTCATTCATCTGATATCACTAAATCCCTGTTAGGGGGTCAGGGGCGAGGGTGGGGGTTTCACTACGGACCATTACTGCTCCACATGATGAGAACCATTCACACTGTAATTCACACTTATAGTACATTTAAAGTTGTTTACTGCAGCTCTGTTGACCTTTAAATCAGGAAGGTGACATCACAAAAATTCTTAAAAACTTTGTGTAGTTGATTTTTCATCAGTCTAATTGTCTTTTTCAGATGAAATCAAAGCCTTTAGTTCATCACTGTTTTCTTGCTGCTGTCAGTCCCTGGAACTGTTTCTGCTCTTTCCTCCATGTTGTTTTTCTTAGTTTTTCTGTCCCACTGTGGACTGATGACCTGTCCAGAGTGACACCCCACCTCCTACTCAATATCAGCTGGGTTTGGTACTGTAAACAATAATGAATGTTTCTGGGGTTTTTTTTGTTTTTTTTTCTTTTTCTGTTATTGCTCCTGGTTCTTTGTTATAGACCGTTGTTCTGTCACTGACCATTAGGACTGATGGAAACACAGCCGCAGGACTTACTTTTATATTTTATAAACTCTAACTCTAATTATCAATCAGAAATGTTTCTCTTCACATCATTAATAAATTATTCACACATGGAACCAGCCTCTAGGATCAATAGTTGTTGATGGATGTTGGGATGCATTGATCGGTGGATGAATTGGTGAATTGATCAGCGGGTGGATGAAGTGATGAGCCATGTCTTACTGGGGCATGTTTGATCATTTTAATTCTCTCTGCGAGGCCTGTGTGTGTGTGTGTGTGTGTGAGAGAGAGAGAGAGAGAGAGTGTGTTTACTAGCAATAAGAAACCCAGCCCCTCCTGAGTGTATGAGATACGTGGGTGTGTGTTTGTGTGTTTGTGTGTGTGTGTGTTAGTCAATTAAAACCATATATCTTAATCTCGTGGACTGTGGACGTCTGGAATGCTGACCTGCACAGTGCAGTACTCGTTAAAGTATTTCTGCAGTATAACAACTGCAAACTAGAGTTTTCCCCCTGAAGTCCTGCTTTGCGTTACTCCGAGAAAGAACACAATGATTGTGTGTGTTTGTGTGTTAAAGCGATTTTAAAAAATGAACCTTTTCTCTGTTTATTTCCCTTCACAGATTACATCCAAGAGCTGAGGTTCTACCTTATTCACATGACCGAGGTAAGAGGACGAATATTTTCTACATTTGTTGTTGAAAAAAAAAAAAAACAGAGAGGAGGAGGAAGAGAAGGAGGAAGAGGAGGAGAAAGCAGGGTCTAATGTGAACAGTTTGTTTTGCCTGAGAGCCGCAGGGGCAATTGACTGTGGTGGAAATCACATTACAGGGAAGACACGAGGATTATCAGAAAGCTCTAATGAAAATGTCTTTTCTCTGTGTGTCTGTCAGATCCAGCTCCATCTTAGACTTGTCTCCACAGCTGAGGCAACAACATCTGTGTTGTTGTTTTTTCTTTCTTTCTTATTTTTAGAAATATATAAGTGAGGAGCACAGTTATGATGATGATGTCATCACAGTGAGGACATCAAGTGAGAAAATGTTTTTAACGGAAATAAATATATACAAATATATATAATACCATTGTCCCATTAGACCAGTGTAACTTTTTTTTTTCTGAGGACCCATATTTTTAAAAGTCACAAACCTTCGTGACTCAATTCAATACATATATTATTATTATATGTATATAATATATAATTATATATTATAATGTAATATATAATTATATCATATTCGTAAAATCCTGGGAAACATGATGCGAGACGACCCCAAAAAAAAAAGTTTTGCGACCCACCTGAGGGTCGCGACCCAGTCTTTCTATGCATTAGACCTTAAATTAATTCAACTGCAGATAAATAGAACGTAAACAGAGCTTCAACATCAACAGCACATTTCAATTTTTTAGCCTTTTTCTCCACAAAGTTTTATTTTTTGCATCTCATCCTTGTTATTTTTAACTGAAAATTAAAGTGGAATTCTTTGAGGATCTCCGTCTGAACTCTCCCAGGACTGGACAGTTTTGTAGCCTGATTGCCTGTTTCTCAGTCTCCATTTCTCTCTGCTCTTCTTCTTGGATGCAGCTCCGCTGTAGTTAATAACCATATTTGCAGGTTGTGGGAGTCAGTTCTCCCGCTGCTGCGTCCCGTTCCTATTTTATTCCATATTTAATGTGCAGCCAGGGAAAATAACAGCGGGTTTTATCATCCTTCTGATGCGGCCGTCGCTGCGTGTTTCATTGGCTGTTCTCTGCGTCTTTCTAACACCTTTTCACACTCACTCTCCCCTCATCTCACACACGTCTCTCTCATGATGTTTGTACACAGATGTAACAGCTGTCACACAGTCCCTGGAGCCGCGTCACAGGAACTTGGCTGGTGCTAAAAAACAACAACTTTGCACCGTGATAGATGTCTGAAAACTAACAAGCTGTTCTTGGTCCTGTATCCACGTGTACTCACATTTGTACAATGAACTGGTGTATCAGCAGGCTGAGGTATGAGCAGAGTCAACCATTCATCTGCTGTGGATGTAGCACAGTACATCAGTACCTACCGTATTTTCCGGACTATAAGTCGCACTTAATTTTAATCCTTTGGCTGGGTTTGCGACTTATACTCAGGTGCGACTTAATTTCATCTTTGTTATTTTCACACTGACTGCCACTAGAGGGCACTGATGCTACTTATACTCTGCAGCGACTTATAGTCTGGAAAGTTTAGTATGTCACTCGCTTACGCTAACACAGTGGTGATATAATCTAGGCCTTAAAAAAATAAGAAGACTCTTGACTTATGCGGACACCCATTGCATTTAAAAAAAAAAAAGAAGATGTAATTTATCCCGTAATTATGACACCAATTGCAGTGTTAGCCGGTGGAGAGAACCAGGTTCTTCTGTGTCTGTCTGTGGCTGTTGTTTGTCAGAACAACTGACCTAATGATACAACGTAACTCATGATACGATATGATTTTTTTATTCACAACACATTTTTTTTAAACATAATGAACTTATGAAATAGTCTTAGGCTACGTAGGGACCTGACATCTTGGTTTAATAGCGGATCTCAAGCAACATTTTAGGTGTATACCGCCACCTGCTGTATTAGCGTGTGTAGTCTCATGGTACGATAACTGACTTTTTCAGATAACACAGCCTGCTCCTTTACGTCTTGATGCAAGCTTCATTTTTTTATTTCAACCGATGTGAATTCTCACACATTTGTATTGATTTTCTTTCCTAGTCAGAACCTCACCTTTTTGTTACACCTTCTCATGACTTTGAAGATCACGTTACATACCGTAGTATCCTGCGACAATCACACACTCGTAAAACAACTGTATTATTTTACATCCATGAATATAAATCGAGATTAAATGAAACGCAGCGTATGAAAATATCCGAGCTGGCATGTCCTGATGGACGAGCTGCGATCGCGGCCATTTGAGCACAATGACATCATCGCTTGCCTTGTGCCGCCCAAACACAACGTTGGCCTCGGCCGAACAGATCAGAAGCCAGTGTGAATGACTGTTATTTCAAGGCTCATTCAGATCATCACTTCCATGACGACCATGTTTTGGTCTCTGTCAAGAGAGTGTACTTTGTGCTAAATGTGCCGCACAACCTCATTAGCAGCTTATGAATCTTTTAAAAGGCCTTTTTTTTCCCAGGCATTCCGGACAGAATGAAAGAAGGGAAAGGCTACGGATATTACTTCATCAACAGTAATTAGCCACCGTGTATAAATAGAACATTTCCAGAAGTGTTTCAGTGAGTCACAGGTAGATGTAGGATGTAATGCATCACATCAAAGAGTGATCATAGTACAAGCCCTGGTACTGATTACCAGGGCTTGTACTTCAAAACTCTTCATTCATTTTTAATTTTTTTAAACATAATGTCAGGCAACATGAAATATTCAATAATGTCAGACGACTTTATAAAACATCTGAATTTGTCCCTCGCGTCAAGCCTTTAATGCTTCTTTGGAATCTACCTTTAATCCATAATTTGCAAATCCATAATGATTCATATCTGTTAAGGCTTATGTCAGACAAATTACCAGGTAAAGTTAGGACGAGAATGACCTTCAGCTGCTGTACAGCAGTCACATGAGTTCCATTACCCTGGAAATTACCCCAAAGCATTTTCCACGGTGAAAGAGCCCCCAGGTAAAGGGCAAGTGTGGTTGATTTCTAATACTTCTGAGGTGGTGAGGTCACCAAGTACCATTACTGTAGTACTGGTAAACCACTGACGCCTTAACAATCTGGTACGTACATGCCCAGAGCAGTCAGCCGACAGCTCCAAAAATAACAGACTGACGCAGAAAAAAAAAAATGACAGGAGACACTGAAGAAGACTGGATATAAAACAGTGTGTGTGTGTGTGTGTGTGTGTGTCCCACACTGTCAGCTCAGCCGTCCTCAGAGTGTTCAGTCATCTATTATGGTTTATACACCTGTCAACAGTCCGTTTCATACCTGAAGAAACAACCGGAGCCTCAGTGAGACAGTTTTTATCTCGTCTGTCGTTCTCGTCCTCCTGCACTGAAGACATTCTATGGAGACACTGTCCTCTCTTTCTTTCCTCCTCTCCCACT